ACCTTTTAGTCCCGGTTGATGTCTCCAACTAGGACTAAAGGTTCCCTTGTATAGAGGTGCACACATCTAGTGATCGCCTATGTAAATGCTTAGGTGGGCTCCAGGAAAATATTTTAGCAAGATGAAAAAAGGCATTCTCTATTAGTGTAGGGGTCAATACTAAAAAGATGATTTTATGACACACTACTAAATAATTGTTGGAGGCGCACACATCTAGTGATCGTCGCTTAGGACGTCCATCTCAGAAAAATTGATTTTTTCGAGATGGGCATGGTTTTCAAAGATGGGTATCTTAAGATGACCGCCTCCGTTAATCAATGATTTTGGGAGGCGGTTGTTCTAAGTGTCCGCCTCCTAAAGTTGATTTACAGACATCTTAAGATGTCCGTCTTTATAAATAATTGTATTAAAAAATCATTCATAAATTTTTCATATCAACTCGAATAAAGACAAACTTTATATTAAAATTATAGCTCTTGATAGATCTATAACTTTGTAGTTGAAATATTTTTTAATTGAAACTGTTTAGAGTCCCAATATATTCTTGTAATTTTATAGATTTTGAAATTTAAAATTTAAAATTATCAAACAATCTCGAATGTTGATATGGTCTATACAAAAGTTATAGTTCTCAATAGAATTTACAACTTTGTTACTGAAAAGTTTTTTATTTGAAGTCAATTAGACTCCCAAATATGTGTTCGAAGGTTATAGATTTTAAAATTCAAAATTTAGAATTACTAAACGATTTTGAATGTTCACATAGTTAATACCAAAATTGTAGTGGCCGACTTGAGTGCTGACAAGTTTTTTATTTAAATTCATTTAAAGTCTCAAATACGTGTTTTAAATTCACATATTTTAAGAAACAATTTTTTAAATCTTTGAACAATCTTGTATGGAGATATATTCTACACCAAAGTTGTTGTAATCGATAAGATTTAAAACTTTCTAGTTAAAAGATTATCATTTGAGTTCATTTAGTAGCCAAAATATCTAATTTAAGTTTATGAAATATTGATATAAAACAATTGCATATTATATGTACACATAAATGAGTGTGTAGTGCAGTGGTAGAGATGAGGTAGATATTAGGTAGCGTGTTTGATTCGTGAAAGCCACTTTTTTTTTTGATTTTTGGGGTTTTGGAGATGGAGATGAACACTAGGAATTTGCTCATAAGAACGAACAAGCATCTAAACATCTAGAAGACTATCGGCCTGTTCGCTGGTTGGTTTCTGCGCTGATAAGTTTGGCTGGTGCTGATGTGTTGTGAGAGAAAAATACTGTTGGCTGACTGATAAATTGTGGCTGAAACCTAATAAACGAACATGCTTTATAATTGTGTAATGTGTAACAGTAATAGTGAAGAAACCATCTTTCACCTCTTCTTTGAATGCCCTTTTAGTACTACATGCTGGAACTCCCTTTCTATACACTGAAATCTGACTCTTCAGTCCGTGGGTATGGTAATCTCAGCAAACAACATTTGGCAGTCAGAGAAATCATGATCACAGCTTGAAGGATCATTTAGAATTGGAAGACAAAAAATGGTGTCAATCTGACGGAGAAGCCCATAACCTACATGTTAGGAAAGTAGAGCTAGACTTTTGGCTCGAGAATTTTACTTAGAAGTTAATTTTCTTTTAAGCTTTGAAAGCTATGTAATTTGTAAATATTTTACTCTAATCTAATTAATATAAAAAATATAGGCGGGGCTCCCCAACCGACGGTCTAAAAAAAATCAGGGCCTAAGAGGTCAATAGCAATAATCTTGATCCCTGTATTGAAGTGTGGCTGTACGCTGGGTCCCACAGGAAAAAAATAAAAGAACATAGACGCACGAGCACAACTCTCAGTCTTCACATCTTCTGCGGCCCAGCCGCCCAGCCGCCCAGCGGCCCAGCCTCGTTTCTTCCACCGTGCCCGGCTTGCCCCCGTGCTCGCTTCCTCGGTTCCTTCGCCTTGGCTGAACGAGTTCCGCGGCGCCACGGCCTACTTCGTGGCTGCCTCCGCCGTCGCGCAACCTCGTCCGAGCTTCCACCGCGCGTGCTTGACTGCTGCTTCGCTTGGGCCTCGTTGAGCCGGAGCCGAGGTCCGCCGTCCCCGCGCCGACGCGTGCTCGTTGACCGCATCTTTGCCTAGGTCTCGGTCTGGTAATCACGCCTCAAATCGGCAGCAGCAGTTGCAAATTTGTTTTTTTTTCTTATTTAGCAAGAGTCGACTCAAAATCTTGCATCGATTCTTCCTTCTCTGATTCTGTCCTCCATGGGTCGCACCCTCCAGCAGTTGGGTCGATTCGTTCTCGTGCCAGCGCGGACGATGCATCTATTTCAGTTTCCATACAACTTCTTTTGGGGGTTGATTCTTCCAAGGATTGGGAAAATGGAGATGCTATGCTTAATGTAGTGAAGATTTTGGGCTTTAGCTGATATTTAGTGGAGTTATTTATTTAGCACTGTCTTCGATTTTGTTCTTGTTTTAATGGCCCCGTTCGTGTGCCCTTAAACCCGGCTTGACCAATTTTTTTTTTTTTTCATCCGAAACAGTATTTTCCTCTCACAGATTCATCCAGATTCCTCCAAATTCCTTCAAGCGAACAGGGCTGAAATGTTTGCGTAGCGTATTCTTTGAGGGTGGAGGTGAATTATAGAAATGGAAAACTTAGCCCCTATCAGAAAATCTACTGCAATAACAAGCTGTCTATGTCTAAAAAGAAAATAGGGAGTGTTTGATTTGTGGAATGAGGAAGTCCATCATTATCTCACTTTTTTAATTTTTATTTGGTTTGCGAAATGAAATGATCCATCACCGTCTCTTTCGTCATGAGCTTATAATTAGTACCGGTACAAGGAATGAAGCCATTTCACAAAATTTGAGGGATGGAGTAGATGGACTTATGATGTACTCCCTCCGTTCCAAATTATAAGTCGCTTTGACTTTTTTGATACATCCATTTTCTATGCATCATGATATAATAATATGTCTAGATACATAGCAAAATGAATGAACAAAAAAGTCAAAGCGACTTATAATTTGGAACGGAGGGAATATTGCCTTATTTAGAATGGTTGATTCCCTAAACCTAACACTCCATACTGTACATGTACATCGCAAGTGTTTTCAGTCTTTGCCTGAAAGTGATAGTAAACCTGTTAGCTCGATGCTCATGGGTTGTGGACAACTGGACATGTAATTCTTTTTCCTTTTATGATATGGCTTGAAAAAGGGAGGAAAGCTAATGATGGTCCCATTAGCTTTTCGCTTATCTGCCAAATTATAAAGCATGTTTGATGAATACTTTTTGATACAGTGGGGGGCAAGGATCGTTCATTTGGAACTGATTCCTCTTTATGCTGTAAGTAGATAATGCTATCGCTTCATGACAGCTCAAAGCAAGCGAAATAAAGGAGTATCAATCAAATAGTTTTCTTCTATTATCGGTGGGCCTTACCTTGCCTACGTATGGCCCCGTTGGTGCTTTATCTCCTCACGTCTGAGGACCGTACAAAAAATATTCATGTTCCATGCAGTTTATCTGCTTCTTTTTGAAGATACCATTTTGTGGCATTGACAGCTTACAGGACACACTTCTTCACTTGTCCTGCAGTAGGTTAATTCCCACAGTGCATCACCCCTCTACTCAGATCTCAACTAACACGGCGACCACCAGTAGATCCTTTTGTCTTCCCCCCTACAGAGCTTTCTGTTGGCAGTTGGCACTGGCATGAGCAAGAGAAGTGGAAATTTTCTTATCCTATGTCATCTCCAAGCACTCTGGTAGTTTCTCTGAAGGTATCCATTGTAACCAGCTTTGGGTCAGTATAGGAGATTCTTCTACTTGTTATTAGATCTTGGAAGTTTCCCTTTTTCAATTGACTAGAACCTTTTGGTTATGACAGTCCTCTCTTTCATGTCTTTCCAGTTAGTACTGAGAAGTGAGAACATAATTTTGTAATACTAGGGTAACAATTTATAACAAATAACTTGGTGCACATCTCAAATATGCTGGAATAAAGCTAGCTTGGTTCGAGAAATTAGGTTATCTATAGATCTTCACTTTTATGGTGTCGTAAGGCAAATGCATGGTACTTTCTCCATCCATAAAAGAATGCAATTCTCGTTTTTCGAGAAGTCAAACAGTTTGAACTTTGACTAAATTTATATAAAAAAGTACTAACATTCATGATACAAAATAAGTATCATTGAATTCGTTATAGGATATATTTTCATAATAAATTTATTTGGAGATATAAACATTAATACTATTTACTATAAACTTGGTCAAACTTGAACTAGTTTGACTGGCACGAATCCCATAGTTGCATTCTTTCCTGGACGGAGGGAGTACTCATGTTTTTTCTTTTTAGAAGGGGCGGCAAGAGATTTGCCATGGTTTTATTAGACGATAGAAAAGAGCAAAAACAGAATTTCGGATACACAACTAGGGTAACACCGGGGTTCCGCAACTACCAACTTTCTGAAGAGAAAAAAGAAAAGCAAAGAACGACACGGCCTGTTGAAAAAGGACAGAAAAAGGACCTCCCAAAGAAACCCAAGTGGAATGGCACAAAACAATGACTAAACACAACCAGAAACCTAGGGGTACTCATGTTTTTGTAGACTGTGTTTAAGTTCATTGATTTTCACGAATTAGTGACTTCAAATATGCAGAACCATTTATCAGGGTTCATGAACCTGATTTCAGAATGTAAAGTACAATCAGTTTATTGAAGGCACTGTTGCATAACTTTTTCTTATGAGTGATGATTTAATATTTCCTGAACATTGTAGTAGAAACAAGTTGATCTCAGAATCTGCTGATGTGGCAAACTTCAAGACTCCTTATTTCAAATTTCTCCTACTAGATCATGTCTATTTGAAGTTTGCAGTTTTTACATCAATTCCTATTGACCTACTGTTTAGCAGGTTCTTTGACTGCACAAGAAAAACACTACTGACACCAGAAGGATACCACTGCCCTGTCTCTATTAAGCATAATGCAGCTTGCTCTTGGTACAGCAAACTCGCTCCTCGGGAAGGTGCTAAACAAGCTGTCCAGTAAGTTAGTGGAAGCATGGGTCGCAAGCTCTGAGCTCAGTAGCAACATGGAAGCTATCAAAAGAAAGCTGTGGTACACACATGGCATGCTGCATGAAGCCCAGAAGAGAGATGTGAGGGACAACCAGGGCTTGCTGGTGCTCCTGCACCAGCTAAGCAACACAGCTGATCAGGCAGAGGATATGCTGGATGAACTGGACTATTTCCTCATCCAGGATAAGCTATATAACACCCAGGAGGCTGCTGCAGAGGTTCATGGTGTCATCGTTGGTCCTGCTCTTCATGCTCGCCATGTTAGTCGCCATTTTATTGGCAAATGGTTCTCATGCTGCTCGTGTTCACATGAACCTGAACATACCCATGGTGATGATCCCAGTGGTGATGATGATGTAGACATCATTAAAAGCCCACCAAGGCCTGTTTTCAATAGAGTGAACATGTCCAACAGAATCAAGATGTTGGTAGAGCGCATGCAAGATCTATGTGAATCTGTCTTGGCTCTGTTAAATCTAAACATCTCCAGCCTTGCGCATGACAGCACAGTTGCTCTGAGACGACCTGTTACCACCTCAATGTGTACAGAGGTCAAGCTGTTTGGGAGGAGGACCTTGCTCAATAAAATTACAAATGACATGACTGCTGGTGAATATCATCTCGAAAGACTCTCGGTTCTTCCTGTAGTGGGTGCTCCTGGCATTGGAAAGACAACATTGATTCAGACTTTATGCAATGACCCAAGAATACAAGAACACTTCTCCATCATAATTTGGATTGGTGTGTCACTTAATTTTAGTGTGCACAGGCTCTCTCAGGAAATTTTCAGGTGCATACCTCCCACTGAAAGTGATGGCAGAAGCAGAGCACAGGAGCCAACAAATTTGGATCAACTTCAAAAATTAATTGAAAAAAGATTGAAGTCAAAAAGGTTTTTAGTCGTCTTGGATGATATGTGGAGATGCAAAAGTGAGCTCGATTGGAGAACACTATTAGCTCCATTGACAAAGGCAGAATTGGACGGCAACATGATTATAGTTACAACAAGATTCCAAAGTATAGCAGAATTGGTGAAAACTACCAATCCAGTAACTCTGGCTGGCTTGGAGCCTAAAGAATTCTGGAAGTTCTTTCTTGCATGCATATTTGATGACTACAGAACAGAGCAGGACGAGGGTTTACTTCAAATTGGAAGAAAAATTGTAGAGAAACTGAAATGCTCTCCTCTTGCTGCCAGAACTGTTGGTCGATTGTTGAAGAAGGATCTCACACAACAGCACTGGATTAGAGTTCTTCAAAGAAAAGAGTGGGAATATCAGAAGGGTGACGATGACATCATGCCTGCACTGAGGATAAGCTACTACTATCTTCCTTTTCATCTAAAAAAGTGTTTTGAATTTTGTGCTCTTTTCCCTGAGGATTATGAGTTTGATGGTTTAGAGCTGATTAATATGTGGATGGTTCTAGGAATGATTGATTCAAATGGTACAAACACTAGTATTGAACAAGTAGGGCTGGAATATCTGAACACATTAGTGGATAGTGGCATCTTCAGTAAAGTTAATAAAGAAGCATATTCATACTATTCTGTGCATGATTTGTTCCACGAATTAGCAATATGCATTTCATCACATGAATGCATTCGAATAGATTGCTCCAACGTTAGATGTGAAGGCATCCAATCAGCAGTCCGTCATATATCTTTCATCACTCAAGATAGCAACACCTACAGTGAGGGATCAGAGTTTTATGAAAACATTAGGAAGGAAATAGGTAAACTGAAACAAACAGTAGATGTTGGAAATTTACGTACTTTGTTGTTTATTGGAAAATTTAATGCTGTCTTTGATAAAATTTTTGAAGACATTTCTCAAGAATTGAGAGCACTGCGTGTTTTAAGCTTAGTTACACTACCTTCAAACTTCTTACTGCATAGGTTTTCAAAACTCATCCACCTTCGTTATCTTAAAATCCAAGTACCATTTGATTCAGTCATTTCTTTGCCTAACACAGTCACAAGATGTTATCATTTGGAGTTCTTGGATCTGAAGGGGTGGGGTCCTGATTCTAGTTTACCTAGAGACATGAGCCATCTTATCAATTTGCGTCATCTTCTTGCTAACAAAGATCTGCACTGCAAAATTGCCGAGGTCGGTAAACTAAAATTTTTACAAGAGTTGAGAAAATTCGAAGTTAGAAAAGATGTAACTGGATTTGAGCTACATGAGTTGTCAGAGCTGACAGAGCTCACAGGGTCACTAAGCATATGCAATCTTGAAAATGTCAAAACAAAGGGAGATGCTGATACAGCTAAACTAATTTTGAAAGGGAACCTTGATAAGTTGAAACTAGTCTGGAACAGTCAGTGGCCTAACAGGGATCCAACAGTGGAAGATGTTCTTGAGAGTCTTAGGCCACATCCGAATCTTAGAGAGCTTTGCATTAAAGATCATGGAGGATCAACATGTCCATATTGGTTGCGTACTCAAAGATCCATTAAAATGTTGAAATCCCTCCATCTACATGGTATTTCTTGGAAAACTCTTCCACCTTTTGGGCAAATGTCAGATCTCATGGAGCTCAAAATGGAGAACATTTCTTCAATGCATCAGTTTGGAGGAACAGAATTTGGACAAGTCACTGATGGAAGCTTCCAAAAGTTAATGGTGCTTAAGCTTGCTGATATGCCACAACTTGAAAAATGGGTTGGAGCAGGTGCTCGGCATTTGTTTCATCAGCTTAAAAAACTTGCTATTTCAAATTGCCCAAAACTTAGTGAACTGCCATTCTCACATTGCATTAGCTCCTCCACAGAAGATTCTAACATGACTTGGTTTCCCAATTTGCGTGAGCTTGTGATAGAGGCCTGCCCACAGTTGTCTCTACCTCCCCTTCCACATACTTCTACAATAGATCTTGTTAGAGTCAAAACTACAAATGGCTACTTCTCCTATAATAGGAATGAGTTGGTGATTGATGCATACAATGGAGCTCTGGCATTCCACAGTATGCATAAACTAGAAGAGCTATATGTTTGCAAGACCTCACTCTCATTGACAGGTCTCCAAAATCTAACTTCCTTGAGGAAATTGGATATAAAGTGTTGTGGCAGTGTGCTATGTGATTCTTATCTGAGCGGAGCTATTTCCGTTCCTGTTAAATCACTCATGATTTATGACTGTTCTATCACAGGAAAAGAACTGTCAAAGCTTCTTAACTGTCTCACCGATCTTTCCTACTTGGAGATATCTGATTGTCCAAATATAACAAGATTGTGCAACACAAATGATATGGACAAGGAGGATGGGAATGAAGAAGGATTGCTCTTATTCCCGCCTCATCTTTCCATCTCACTGCGCAAGTTAGAGATCTGCAACTGCAGGAAGTTGTTTCTGGATCCAAAGGGTGGAGGACTAAGGCACCTCACATCCCTTGAATCCTTACAAATGCAGGGATGCGACAGCTTATTGTCATGGTGGTTTGTGGAAGAAGCAACTTTCCAGTGTCCTTTTCCTATATTCCTCAAAGACCTCGTTCTTAGAAATGTACAGAGCTTGAAGACAATGGCTATGCTCTCAAATCTCAGATGCCTTACCCATCTGGAAATAGTTGACTGTGATAATTTGAATGTTGATGGGTTTGATCCTCTCATCACTCAATGCCTCACTAAACTAGTTGTTGTCAACCGTCATGATGAGTATTCGAAAGTAACAGCTGAGCTGATCTCAGGAGTAGCAAGGACAAAGTTGAATGGTTCATTCAAATTGGAAGACCTGAGAATTGACAACATTTCTGAACTTCTTGTCTATCCCATTTGTGACCACCTCTCTATCAACCTCCACACATTATGTTTTCAATATGATAACAGGATGCAAAGGTTCACAGAAGAGCAAGAGCAAGCACTTCAGCTACTTACCAACATCCAAAATCTCTATTTTAAGAGCTGCCGGAGTCTGCAGTCCCTGCCTGCAGGGTTATATCGCCTTTATTCCCTTAAGGTATTACTGATTGACACATGCCCTGGCATACAGTCATTGCCCAAGGAGGGTCTCCCTACTTCACTTGAACAACTAGAAGTCTACAATTGCAATAAGGAATTGAAGGAACATTGCAGAAAACTGAAAGTTCATAGACTCAAACTGTATTAATCTAAGGTAGAAACATTCTCTCCTTCCTGCTTATATGCTCCAAAAAGTAACAGTTTTAGCAGAAGCCCAAAAAGTATTTGATGTGTACATTTTACTTATGTGTGTTATTTGCAGTGTCTAATATCAAGGAAGTTACTGGTGGTGTTTGGGTTGCAAGCGAGAAATAGTGTGGTGGAATTGGTATGTTGCCTACTTTATTACTATTTGTTTCTGCTGATCCTTATTCCTGATAGTAAGCACATTCAGCATCGGCCTTGTTTTCTTGATCTAATTGCATATAACACGCTGGTTGTAATGATTTGCGTAAAGGATACATACTATGAATGTCTGTTTGGAGAATGGAGATTCATGATGCAACAAGAGGTCACCTCCACTTGCATGTCATTGAGTAGGAGTGGGTGTGCAGTTATTTGCTAATTTGAGCATGGCTACCCCCTCTGATTTTTTTTTTCCTAGATACTGGGGCCTGCTTGGATCTTTTGCCAGGCTAACCTAACCTCGTCTGCCTCGCCTCACTCAACAAAGATAGGCATAGCAAGAAAGAGGAAGTCGTTTGGTTCTCTTGTCTAGTGACCTTGCCAGCCTCTTCTCTCCATTGGAGCTGAATCTGTTGGCAGGATGAGCAAATCTTGCCCAAGCAGGAGAGCCACATCGGCTCTCCTGGATGGGCAAGGATATCCTTGCTAGGGTGGGTGAGCTTGCTTGGCAAAGCAAGGATAAAACCAAACAACAATTCTTGCTGGGTGAGGTGAGGCAAAAGGCTTGCCAGGAAACCAAGCGGCTCCTCATATCTATATATCTGATATTTGCAAACCTTACTAGCATGTCTATCTCTCCATGCATACATCAGCAGCCACTACGGGCCTGTTTGGTTGGGTGGCTCACCCCCAACCAGGCTTGAGGAAGCCAACTTTCAGCTGTTTGGTTGCCTGTAAATAGCCAGAAGCCAGACCCAGCTAAGCCACTTTAGAGGCCCTAGCTTGGCTCCAGGAAAACGAGATGAGGATCCGTTTTTTGCTGGCCAGGCTTGGCTAAGTCCCGTTGGAAGTGTCGTCACCGCACAGACCGGTCGCTCTCTCCTCCGCTCGCTTTCTTCCGCCGCCGCGCTTGCCTGCGACGAAGACTCCGGCGGCTTTGCACGCACCCGCATGTCGAGGCCAAGATACTCGACGAGCTCAGGTCCCTGCAACCCACCGCAACGGTCGCGGCCACCGGCGGCGGCGAGCACGCCGTGTTCGATTCTGATACCCACCAGCCCGCGTCCTACCTCCATGCGGTGGGCGAGCATCCACGGCGCGGGCACGGATGGAAGCGCGCACTCGCTGGTGGTGACGGCACCGTGCATCCGCCAGCTCGAGGGTTGCCGGATGCGGACTGGGGGCCTTCCGCTGGTGGCGACGGCGCCGTGCATCCGTCAGCATTCGTATCGGTGGACAGGGCCTCCGGCCGCTGCTGTTGATTCCATATCGGTGAATTCAAGTAGTAGTGATTCTGAATTCTGATGTACGTACGTAGTGCTGTTGACAGGGCCTCCGGCCTTGCTTCTGTTGGGTGCTCTCCTGTGGATCGTCACCTTGGTCCTGGTGGCTGAGGGCGGCGTGGAGGAGCGTGGCAGCGAGGTCTCAGGACACGCGCGGAGGTGCTCTCCGGCTCGCCGGCTCGCTGAGGTGTTCGCTGCTGCTTCCCTGCCGCCCACCACATGTTCGACAAAATAACACAACGAGGGTAAACTTACCCAATCGAAGAAGAGGTGACCCTATGCAATGCAAATCAGACAACCAAACACACCCTGTGCTAGCCAGGCTTAGACAACACAGACAACCAAACAACCATGGATTGGCTTGGTGGGAGCAGGCTAAGGCTAACCAGGCTCCAATTCTAGCCAGGCTAGGACTAAGACAGGAAACCAAACAAACCCTACATGTAATTGCGATGGTTATCTCTTCATTCAAGCTATCCACGTCAGTGAGCCACATCATCCACTAACATGCATTTAGTTGGCCACGTCAGTGTCCACACCATTCACTAACATTCATTTATGATAGTTTATCCTTCTATGTAAGTAAATATAATTAGTCTAATTTCATTCTAAATTATCCGTGATGCCTGCAGCAACGCACGGGGTATCCTTCAAGTTGTATTCTAGTATATTTGTGATTCTTGGATTTGATACAACTTGGATTTTTCAGGTGATAGCCAAGGAAGTGAAGAGAAATGGAAGGTGAACAATCCAAACATTGAGAAGTTTGTGAGACAGAGCCACGACAGTTCCTTGCAATTCAGTTCATGGTAAATCTTTGTTTTACGTGGTCACAGGTTATATTGGTTGGACTTCCCTTTAGGTATAGTGTCACGGCTGTGTCTAGAGCAGGAGTGATCATGTATCTCTTATCCAGAATTTTGGGTTGGAGGTGGAGGAAAACCTGTCATTTACTCATTTTTAGGTTTGATATGTGATGGCTGTAAAGGGGGAATCTCCATGAACTGGTTAAAACAGTATAGAATACTACTTATGACTTCTCTGATCCTTTAGATATTTGGTAATTTAAAGCTAGGTTGTTAAGGAAGAAAGCTAAGAGTTGAACCTTGAATGTGAATCTGAAATCAGAAAAGCTAAGCAGAACCTCCTGAGTTCCAGATTCTTGATGTTTTTGAAGAAACCTTCCGGTGGAGTGAGGGTGAGAGGAAGAGAATGCTGGATATCATGGTAAAGCTTATCATATGGCAGATGGGAGATCATGGCTAAGCTGGAAACTAGGGATAAAACTATTGGAGAATGGGACAGTTATACTCCATATTTTCAGGTAGTTGCTAATCAAAGAAATAGAAAGAAGAGGGTTCAGTGCTTGAGGGCCGATGCTATAATTAGTTTATGGTTTCTTCAAAAAAATCTTTTTGGATATGAGAGATTTGGAGTAAACCAAGAAGATAATTTCTGATATAAGGGAGGTAAAGTAGTTTTTTTTACCGTAAATACAGCTGGGCAGGCCTCCACTGTAAGAATTTTATTAAACGTAAGAAACAACGAAACGACTGTACAAACTAAGAGGGGAAAACAAACTAGACAACAGGAAAACTGTACAGAGCCCGAGAAGGGCGATATGGGGGACTCGAATGACCAAAGAGGCTCAACAATGAAAGGAAAGCTGGTCCTTTTAAACCACCAAATCTATGGGCTTAGTAGACTATCTTCCTCAAATAAGTTTTGCCTCCAAGAGTAAAGGGATGGGTGTCCACAGTCGAAGATGAAGTTGTTCCTTTTGTTTCCAAATTTGCTAGGCACCAATGATGGAGAATTCCATAAAGAGCTTCCAGGTAAAGTAGTTTGGAGGAAATGAGCTTCCAGAGGCTCCTCTTTTGGAGGATGAAATTAATGAGACAGTTTTTGGGTCTTCCAAGTCCATTTTTGTCACAATCTCACCTTCGTTGAGAACCATCTTTAGTTTCTGTACCACTCGATCATCTTCAGCAGAGTTATGTCTGCTCCAACAGTATTGGTAGCTCTGCCTTAAGTTCCTTTTTCTGCTTTCCCTAATCATGCTTCAAGTGTAGAACATGGATGATCTCAGACTCGATGTCTAAGAAATTGAATATCTTGTTTAAAAATTGCCAAAATTACCTTATCTTTACTGGTTAATTTAAACTAGATTTGTTTATGGTTCTGTCCACATTCAACAACTAGTTAAGATCACCTTTAGATGCAAAGACAACTTACACAAGCAAGTCAAACAAGTAAACCTGGGCAGCAACTCAGTTAGAGCAAACAATCATACTATTTTCGTTTTTTTCCTCGTATTTTTAAGTTCATTTTTATTTCATTCTTTGACCTGTTCATAACACATAACATGCTTGGTATCATCAATAAGTAGCAAACAGATGCAAATACAAGTGCACAGCACTGAAATATTTGACTCCTCCAGTTTCAAACCTCCGCCACTGCTGTACTAACAGTGAGGATAAGTTAGATGAACTTCTTGTTGGATTCGCACAGGTACGCCCATGAGACAACTGCAGCAGCAACTGCGACCCCAGCTGCAGCTTGCACCAGCAAGGACTTTTGTTTATTTCCGGATTTGCAAGTGAAAGAAGAGCGAGGCGGTGTGAAGCCTAGCTCTGAGAGTTTCTTGTGTGACTCTGCGTAGTCCCTAAAGAAAGCTTCTTCATCCTGCGAACAAGGTTGGGAAAATGAATAGTGAAGAAACAAGGATTAATATAAACTATTATAGGGTTTCAGGAACCGTTCGATCATGAGTGGAAGAAGGTAACTGAATAGCTGTGTACCTTGGCATATAGTTCGACATACTGACGGAATTCAGGATCTTCCACAAGAACCTTGTCAGTCGGGAGTTTCAAGAGCCCTTCAGAGTCGCCTTTCAGAAGCTCACTGCATCATAGGATGTGAAGTGATATACACAGGTGTGACATTACTAACCATATTAATCTGAGAAAAATAAAGACAATAATTGTGTGTCAGGTTTTTGAACTAGTCAGCTTAAGGCTTACACGAAATAAGAGTTGTCAAATTTCAGAGGTTCCTTAGTCCATGGGCCATCAAATCCTGTCCTCTCTGGATGTGCTCTCCCCTGAAATTTGCATTGTGTGGTGCAAAATTTTGGATTAAAAAGGAACCAAACCACGTTAATGTAATTGAGATCATGTTCATATTTGTTAACCCTTCTCTACTAAAAAAATATGCTTGCTAGTTGCCATAATGCATGAACAAGAAAAGATGTTCTTGTGTACCAACCAGAGTATGGCCGCCGGAGAGTGCCACAATGTCCTTGTCAGATAAACCCATCCGGTAGAACACTTCTCTAAGATGCGAAGCACCTTGTGACAGATAACAAGAGCAAGAAGAATTGAAAATTGTTCAGTAATGCAGAAGAGCTGAATTTGGGACGTCCGTCCAAAAACATCGAAGGTGCGTTGCGGTTGCCACTTGTACAGTACTATCACCTTTCTGCCAGGAACGAAATCAATGGTTGGTCCACCAGTAACTTCGACGGCGACGACTCCGGCGAGCTGGTTGATGAAAGACAACACAATTAACCAATGCTATGGTATGTGTCAATTGGGCAATAGTCCATGGACATACTGCATTCGAAGAGTGGCTATACTCCTGTGGGAACCTTATGGAGCCGTTGGGGCCTCCAGTGTTGGTCTTGGCGTCGTAAGTGCCGGCGTCATGCCATCTGCAACGTCGAAAAGAAGCCATTGTTACAGAATATGTTACAGGCAAATTAGACCATGCCACACATCGTTGCCATGAGGAGGACGTACGCGAGGCGGAGCATGATGGGCGCGCAGTTCTTGCTGGAGATGAGGGCGCGGAGGTCCCGCTGCGCCCTCTCAATCTCGGCCATGTACTCGGCGTCCACCACGGGTGCAGACATTGCTGCTGAGAACTGGTTGCTCTGTGGAAGCAGAGGAAGTGAAGCAGGCCGTTATAGTGAAACTTGCAACATTGCTGAAATGATCAGAAAACTGGAAATTCCAACGAAACATGGATGTTCGGGTGACGTTTCGTGATGTCGGAACTTCCACAATTACGGAACCCTCTAGAACTACTATCCTCAAAATAATAAAAAAAATCCGGCGGCTCGGCTCCGGGAACTGGAACTGAGCCCCCAATCCCTGGCTCCTCGGTTCTTCACTGTTATCAGTGCAAATCTGTCGGAGCCAGAGCTGCTGCACAAGATGCTACAGGGCCGCACAGTGATGCACAGGACATGGACAGCGGAGCCAGAGCCACGCGGAGCCAAGCCAAACGAGTCCTAAATTCTCGACGCAGCCTTGTTTTGTTTTCCCAAGCAATTTTCAACAATATGGTAGCACTTTGAATGGTGGACACGGCAAACATTTTGGTAAGATTTAAGGATTTCCCATCTCAACTGTGGAATGCTTTCTAGATATTTCAGAAAAGGAAAAGTCTATTTTATATGCTGTAATATGAATTTTCTCGTTAAATTCTAAAACCTAACATCCCACCTTGAACATTCAAAACCATTGAAATTACCTTAGTGCCCCCTGGTTGGAAGTGGTTTTAAACGCTTTTACCCTTTTCAGTTAATATAAAATCTCAAAAATACTTAATAAGATTTCTAAACCGTAGAAAATGTCTCTAAACTTTTAAAAATTCCAAGAAAAATCATAAAGATAAATTGGAATATGATGAATCCGAATAAAATATATAGAGCTCATAAAAATATATCTAGAAGCTTCAAAAGTTACACTTAGATCTTGAAAAATAGGAAAAAATATCCAGAAAAAACTAAAAAATCTCCAAATAGATGACTAAACGTGTTTGAAAACTTTTCACAACAAAATATGAGATGCAACCAGCATAGATGCTACACACATTAACGTGTAACACATTCGTGCTCATTATGTTAGATTTTTATTGTCAAAGTTTTCAAAACATGTTTACACATCAATTAATATGTTTTGCAAATTTTATAGATATTTTTACTATTTTCCTAGAGGAAATTTTTAGAAGCTTCTAGATACATTTTCAAAAGCTCTAAATATTTTATTTGGATACATTGTATCCCAATACATTTCTAGGTTTTTCTCAAAAAAATAATAAGCTTAGAGACATTTTTGTGGTTTATAAGTATTTATATTTTTAATTAAAAAGGACAAAAACATCTTCATAACCACTTCAAATCATAGCAAGGAGATAATTTGAATGATTCTCAGAGTCCAGGAGTGTGATATCTAGTTTTGCAGTTGGAGAAGAAAAAGCCGCTTCAAAAGCACTGTAGTGGTATTCAGTTTTGGATAGTATAGAAGATCGTTGTTGACACTAGATATGGCAAACAGATAAATCTGTAAGCGCACGAATATCAATATAGCTTTCACCCGGGAATATTCCAATGTATCGTATTTCCATGGGGAAACATGAAGTGAACAAGACTAAGAACTAAGTTTATCCAAGGATAGAATAAGGTGAAAATAATAGATAGAGTAGATATATGTGGTTTCTCTAAACTAAGATAAGACTAAAGAATACTATATCACGGTTGTTTACTTCAGGGCACAGCCCGCCTAGCAACATAGGAGAGATAACTAGATAAGGTCTGCAACGAGCCTTATGATTTAATAAGTAGACCTATCGTGGTGGAATATAAAGGATGGACAGTGCTGTCACCACCTACCACCTATCATAATCTATCCGGAGGCCTAGCCGTAAACACAGGCAAGCTATAACCTAAGCACCACGCTTAATCTATAGACTCACTACTCTAATCCTGTACACGATGAAATGAGACTAGAGCACTCTAACCAAGCGGTGAAACCAGTAAACATAATAATATAAATAAAACTTAAATAATGCAAAAGAGTAGTGTTACCACAGAGAAGATGCCGAAGTTCACTCGAAGGCGAGCTTCATCCGCCGAAGCACAACTAGAGAGGATGCCGACAAGCCTGGCCCTTCTCCAAGCTTCCCCTCACTCTTTCCCTAACTTCTACTTCTAAGTAGTAGAGCTATAAAGCTAGACTAGATACTACTCATCACTTGGAGTGATGGAATGAGATGGTGCGCTACTCCACCGAGAACCACTGCCCCTTTTATAGTGTCTAGAGGTGTGGGGGTACTTATAGGCAGCGTAGAAGGTCGGTGGAGGAAACTTGGGCGCCGGGCGGCCTAGGGAGGATGTCACCCGGTCCTCCATTCCACCACCTTTGCATCGTACGGTGTTGATTGGCTCCCAATGGCAGTTACTAAGATATCACATGTCAAAATTCGAACGGAAAGTCAGTTGAGGAGGCTCCAAGCCTATGACAATTGGCCCATGGATCCATGTGCTCTCCATCATGACCGTTGATCAAACCGACTTGAATCAACGCATCCCATTGGCTGAGGAGGAGCTCCAACGGATCATTGACGTGGCAAAGTGTAACACCCCAGTGTTAAGCATGACATTTGGCACTTGCATTTCATGAGCACAAGCATCATCCAAGCATTCATGAACATGAGCATATGAAATTTCATCTCATTCTTATACATTATCGCATGAAATGTTGATTATATATATATATATATGCTTATGCTTGTACTCATGTATGACCAATGTATGAAATGGTTGTAAGGTCACAACAATACCTTAGATACATCTAGGATGGTAAATGGAACAACTTTTGTATTCATGACATGAACCAATTTTGCTTCTAAGTGTTGGGTTACCTTGGAATGCCATTTTCATGATGCTAGTTTGACCAAAGTTGAATAGTAGCTTAGAGTGTTTGCATGGCTATATGACCTAAATAAAAGTTATAGTTCACATCAAGGGTAACAAACTTTATTTAAGGGTCCTGAGCTACATCAGTGCCTAACATGGTCAAATAGAGCGCACAAGTTTCAACTTAATGCTGTTTGTAACTCAAAAATTTTCTAAGTCTTGAAGCTGTTTTCAGTTTCAATGTAGCCTATTTTGGAGCCTTATAGTTTGAAAACCATTGCGATTTAGACAAAACTCCTTTAAGCAATCTTGTAGTACTCATGTAGCTCTACACTTTATATTAATGAAGTTTTCACTGATTCATAACGGTTTGGGAGATTTGGAGGTTTGAAAATTGATTGTTAGACGGACTGAATTGGCCCTTGCCGATTCAAATTGCCGGCCGTCGTGGCCGACCGCACCCATGCCGCTTGCACCACGTGGCGGTAGTCCGTCGGCACCGACCCGCCCTACCGCGCCAAAAGGGAGAGCCCTCGGCTCTCCACTCACCCACGAGCTCACTCTCGCTCTCGCTTTCTCTCTCGCCCGTGCGCCTCTCTAGAGCGGAGCAGCACCGCAGCAGCATCGCCGCCGTGCCTCCGCTATGCTCGAGCGCCACCACCGTAGCACCACCACTCAATCACTCACACCCACAGCTTCGCCATTATCACCTCCTCCACCTCGCCGACCCACCATTGCCTTAGCTCGAACCAAGGTAAAGGCCTACGGGCCATCGCCGTCGCCACCATAGCCGCTGTGCGCCGTCGAGCTCCAAGCTCGCCCATGGCCAGCCCTATCCACGGTAGCTCCTACCTTCTTATCCGTTGGTCCGTCGTCGCCTTAGGTCATAGGTGCTCGTGCCATAGCCTAGTTCACCATTACTACTACCGTCTCACGAGAACGTGCGACTGCACCACGCGCACCCGCCATGGCCGCGAGCTCCAGCTCGCTGTGGCCGAACTTAGCTAGACCTCGTCGTTCCCCTCTAGCAAGTGTTTCCGCACCTCCACTAACCCTAGCACCATCACCAAAGATGGAGACTCGTCACCCATCACCGGCTCACCGAAACGGCGACACCACCGTTGTGCTCTATGCGCCACCGTGCCACCATGCAAGTGGCCAAGCTTCACTGCCGCTCCACCATCGCCCTAACCTAACCCTAGAGCTCCGCTAGGACCTCCTGATGTTGTAGTTGTGCTCGCCTGGACATGCCATTGTCGGAGACGATGAGTCCGTGTAACATCCTAATGGGCCAAAGTGGGCCCAAAATTAATCCAGTATGGGCCAGTGACACTGTAGCAGAACATGGGCCAGTACTGTAGCATCCAAACTCCGAGTTACTGTAGACCGAGCGCTGTTCATCCGGAAATGGGCCGACCGATTTTGGTGGTACTGTTCACGGGTTACTGTAGAACCGCGGAAAAACACTGTGCAACTAGTTAGTACCATACTGGAACCTCTGAGATCGCCGGATCGACTTAAATACCAGGGCCAGAGACGCGTAATAACCTTCGGTTAACCGTTTTGAACGAAGCGAGGATGAAAGTTCAAGCGGGTTGCTACGCGGGTCGGACCACTCCTAGGAAGAGTGGGCCGGGGCCATGTATGTCGGGACTGGACGTTACATTTGGTATCGGAGCCGACTCTCGAGGTTTCACGGGCACGTGGGGACAACTGCGCGGGTATGTTGTGTGCATGTGCGTGGATCCATCGTGGTCACGGCATGGCATACACATGCGCCGGCACGGGCCACACAAACGTGTTGAAGAGAGGCGGATCCTGGGGTAAATGTCCCGAAAGGGTAAGCTGATCTGGCATTCGACGGAGACGTCGAATCTTTAGGGGGGATGATTGTAACATCCTAATGGGCCAAAGTGGGCCCAAAATTAATCCAGTATGGGCCGGTGATACTGTAGCAGAACATGGGACGGGTACTGCAGCATCCGAACTCCGGGTTACTGTAGACCGAGCACTGCTCATCCAAAAAATGGACCGACCGATTTCGGTGGTACTGTTCATGGGTTACTGTAGCACCACGGAAAAACACTGCGCAACCAGTTAGTACTTAAATACCAGGGCCAGGGACGCGTAGTAACCTTCGGTTAACCGTTTTGAACGAAGCGAGGATGAAAGTTCAAGCGGGTTGCTACGCGGGTCGGACCACTCCTAGG